AAAGAGTTGATTTCACTTTATGTACGTTCAAAGAAGATGCTCTGACACGTCTAAGCTTTGATATATTTTAGGACCTGATAAAAATCGTCTGGTTGTTAAATTATGCAAATACAGCCTGAGATCAACAGCAGATGAATTATTTATCAGCTAACATTTATTTAACTAAAACTGCAGCAGCAGTGTGAGTTAAACAGACTCCACCCAGCAGCAGCTTCAGAGCGTGAAACTGCACTCGAGGATTTTAAACTGATTCCTGCATGAAGTGAAGTTATTTATTCACCACAAGAACATTCAATCAACAACCTGAGAAAACTCGAACTAAAGAGTTAATAAAACTTTTTCTAGTGCAAAGAAAAGTTTGTTGCTAACCAGTTAAAACTAAACAAAGAAAAAATATTTATTCTATAAAGGGTTGAACTGAAAGCATAACTCATGAGCCACAACAAAGAAGTCTTTGACGACTTTAACGAAGCTTCATGTCACAGATTCATCCATCGATGCAGATAATGAATTTCTCAACTATCTAAATCTACCAAAACTAAAGGACAAACAGGTTGTGGTTCTGGATTCTCCTTTTTTTCTTTTCTTTTTTAAATTATTTTGGATTTTCAAAATATAAAGCAAAAACAAACCCAAAAACAAGCAGGCTCAGATGTGTTGCAGTAAAAACAGTTAATTCAGACAAACATGCACAACGCAAAACAGCACAAGACACAACACCAAAAGCTGGAATAGAGTTTACAGATCTGGGCCCAGTTTAGCCCAGTCCGGCCTCCACAAAGTGTTCCAGACATTCAAAAGAGTCTTTAGAGTCTTTGCTGATCTCTTCCATTTGTATTATGGACATCATGTCTGTTACTGCCAGCTGAAAGGAAGGAGGAGTGGGGACTCCCTCAGGATTAGTCTCTGGGCACCAATCAGACCTAACGACGGCTGCTGCACTGTAGCCGGGAGCAGCTCTCAGCAGGCTGTAGGGCTTCATATATGCGCTGGAATACCAGTGAAATATATTAGACCAAGCGCCTGTGGATGAGGGACAAGACCAAAAAGCATGAAACAACGTCTGCCAACCTTGGAAAGAGCTTGGAAAGAAAAACGTCTGGACTTCTTTAAGTTTCCTTGAAGACGTTTCATCTGAAAAGCTTCTAAGCGCAACTGCTGTAGAGTCCTAGATTTTAAGTCCTGTGGGAGTGTCCCCCCAAGAGGATCTATTCATCCTCTATCTAACCACATGAGCCGAGGTGTGAAAACAAGTGGGGGTCACAATGAGCCAAGGTTTTGGGTGAACCCATTGTGAAACTTAGCCCCTCTCTATCAGGTGATTGACTGAGGTCAATTTGGGACTTTCCACCAGTTGCTCTTAGAACTGAAGAAGCTTCTCGGATGAAATGTCTTCAATGAAACTTAGTCCAGGC